AGCATAGTGCCTAAGGCACTTGACTGCTAACCAGAAGGCTGGTGGTTCAAACCCACCAGCCACTCCTCAGAAGGAATGTTGGGCAATCTACTTCCGTAGTGATACTGCCTCGGAAATCCAAGGAGGTATCACTATGAGTCAGATCCGACTCAATGGCAAATAACAACATAATAAAAGAAAAAGTTTCAAATCCTCCTTAATCATAGCACACACACACAATTGATTCTTTTTTGCATCTGTTAGTATCCCTTTGTGTATATAGTTTTACATGGGTATAGCTGTTGAGAACTTGAAATTCTGTACTTTTTAAAAATGTAAACCTTTCCTTTATTTTACATGGATTAAAATAATCACATCAAACATTGCATTGCTTAGAGCAGCAAGAATCTCTCCTTTATGGCTAAAACAAACCAAAACAAACTCACCACCATCAAGTAGATTCCAACTCGTAGTGACCCCTATTGGGTTTCCAAGGTGGTAAATCTTTACAGGAGATTGCCCCGTCTTCCTTCCATGGAGCAGCTAGTGGGTTTGAACCACCACCAACCTTCTGGTTAGCAGTCAAAAGCCTTAGGCACTGCACCACCAAACTCCTCCTAAACCAAAACCAAGCTCACTTCTGTCAAGTCGGATCTAACTCATAGTCGACCCCTTCTTGGGTTTCCAAGGCAGTATCACTACAGAAGTAGATTGTCCAACCTTCCTTCTGAGGAGTGGCTGGTGGGTTTGAACCACCAGCCTTCTGGTTAGCAGTCAAGTGCTTTAGCCACTATGCTACCAGAGCTCCTACCAGAGCTCCTAGGGCTCAATAAAATGTAAGCGGCCAAATAGTGTCCAGAATCATGATTTTCTAAAGGGAGTTTGAATAATGTTGCAAAACAGAAAGGATTGCTAATATCATAAATAAGCAAGTCTTAACCATACATTTCCCAGTTTTCTTTAGGATTATTTACAACTAATGTTGCTAACATATATTTTATTAAACTTCTACCCTTAAACAGATGATATGCTGATTTCTGGGTGCTCTTGCACGGATTTAGACACTCCTGGATAGATTTGTACCCACTGAGGAAAGCACTTAGATGTAGAAGCCTTTTCTGGAACAGCTTTCCTGTCAGATAGGGCTGGACTGCCACATGCACAACATGGCTTCCTGAAACAAAGGGCTCTTCCAAGACATTGGCTACAGACTAGAAATGCCTTCTCTAGAAACAGGCTTTCCACCCTGAAAGATATACAGCTGCCAGCAAGGTGGTTGTTTTTACTTTCTTTCTGTTCCTTCATAGTTTACCAACCTTACAAATAGGAGATAGTACACCAATTGCCTGGTCAGGTGCTCCTGTTGGGGGCCATTGTGCTCTGTGTGCGTATCCTATGTGGACCAATATTCTCAGTTTTCACATCCAAGTGAATCTCAAAAGGCTACCTACGAGGAGGTAGAGGAAGTCCTGAAATCACACTTCCCTTAATGGAGATCAGCACTTCTCCCATCCTGGGAGATGCACAGACTGTCATAAGCAGCTGACTTTGCTTCATCCCAAACAGAGTGAGGTCTGTATAACATTATATATATAAACTCTGAGTTAAAATGCCTTCTCTGATGAATAGAAGTTTGCCACTGATCACACTGGCAAGAAACCTTTAGGAAAAGAGTCCTCCCAAAAGTTGAGCAATGCCAAACTGTATATGTCTCCCTTTCTGGACCTAACTGAACTTTGCAGACTTCATTTGGAATATGAGGAAACAGAAGGTGTCAACAGGGCCTTTGTGCTCACTGTTGAAATAGGGAAGAGGCAGAATCCATCCCTGAGACCTGTAATTATGCCTTATCTCTGGGAAGGAAAAAGAAAAGTGAAGCAAAAAGAAACATAGAATGGAATAGTCTCAGAGCTAAGCAAACCACACCTTATATCTGGTTAGCCTCTTGTTTATTAAAAACTTGAATTGTAACCAGGTTTCTTGAAATCTGGCTGTTGAAAATGAAGGCGCTAGGGCCCTGCAGTGTGATGGTGGCTTTGTTGTGTGACCACAGAGGCTGGTTACGCATTAATTTCCTCTAGGGCTTGCGATGAAGTCAGTAAACCACAGCCTTCAGTATGCTCTGCTCAGGCAGCGGCAGTGGCTTCTCAGTGGTGTCTCAGCCATGACACATATTTGACATGCCCTCCCGCAACCTAGTCATAGATAGTCTGTCTTGTTCTGCAGCATGGACCAAAGAGAAATACTGCAGAAGTTCCTGCATGAGGCCCAAGATAAGAAAATTAAGAAAGAGGAGTTTGCCAATGAATTTCTGGTGAGTTCTGTGTGTAAAACTTTCAGGATATTTACATAGTCAATTTAACTGACTCTGATGGTGCAACTCTCCTAGAACAAATTATCTTGGGATAAAATGAATATCAGATCTTGGAGGGGAAGGAAGATAACTTAAAAGTTTGACTTTCCCTGAGTAATTTGTATGTATATTAGGTATTCTCTCCAAAATATTGACTTTGATATTTTGTTTGCCGTTTCTTGGAAATTAAGTAGGAATCCTACAGAAGATATACACAATTCCAGTTGTGTAAATACTGATATTAATTGAACATCCAGAGTTCCCACTGGTATTCAAGCTGTGGTTAATACTTCAAATTGCTCATTTTATTTTATATTAAGAGGAAAGAGACCAAGACTAACTTTTCATGGCTCAATGAACATTTTTAACCTCCTCTTGGGATTCCATTTGGATGGTCGATTTTTTTAAAAGCAAAAAAGTTACCTGCTGCCACATTTCTTTTCTTTTTGATGAAGAACAGATATTAGAACTTGTGTTTTACAATAACAGGGATTCCTTAACCTTCTGCTTGGAGATATTAAAGAGCAAGATGGAGAGTAAGAACAAGTGAAGGGAATGGAGAAAAACATTGAGTATAAGGCAGCCTAGGGTCAACTGGATTTGATTATCCAGAGGAACACTGCATCACCTCTCAGGGAACTGTAGTTATTGATGCAGTGATTACCTGGACAGGCCAAATTGATTACATAGGGTATCTGAGGTACCTATCATGTATTCCAGCTGGTGTTTCAGAGCTGTAATAACTTCAGAGCTTAGCTCTTCAGCTGTGGAGAAGTGGAAAAAGTGAACTGAACTACAAAACCTGAATGTAAATTGTGATTCTGTCGCCAACTAAATTCTAGACTATTTGACTTATAAAATGGGGGCGATAATTTATGCCTTCCCTATTCTCACAAGATTGTTGTGATGATTCAAATCAATAATAATTAAATGTGGTAATTTGTTTAGTAATATTTATAGAGTAGCTACTACATACCCAGCACAGTGCACTAACGATACAGCAGTCTACACAACAAACAACAGTCTTTGCCTCCATGGAACTACCACTCTGTTACATGATAGTAATATGAAAACACTCTATAAAGTCTTGAGTAATTAACTATAATGAGAAAGTGATTAAATATTATGGTAGAAATCAGTAAAACTCAGATAATATCATAGTATCATGAAAAAAGTGCTTTCCACTAGCCAAGCAGTCAGTACCTCTCTGAGTTGAGTTACCAGGGCGGGAGGTAAGGGGGATATTCTAGCCTTTGTGTCTCTTTAGATATGTGTCTGCCCTGGGCATATAACTCCTGAGTCAAATTCACCCATAGCATAGAAGTGAAAAGAAAGGCAGCCTCTGTTTTATTTATTTATTTTTAACAATGTAACCTATATCCCTAATATTTTACCCTTTCTTAGATCATTATAATCTCTCACCCAAATTACAACAGCTACCTCCTAATTGGATACTCTGCCTTTAGCTTTGCCTCACTTCAATCAATTTTCCATTCAACACTCAAATGATCTTTTAATAATACATATCTGGTCGTTTTTTCCCTGATTAAAAACCTTCTATAATTTATCTTTCATTTTTTTCTGTTTTTAATTATGAAATACAGTAACACATTCAGAAAAGCATATAAAACAAGAACAGTATATTGACTAATTATAAAGTAAACCTCAGTGCAACTACTACCCAAGTCAAGAAATAGAACATTACTAGACCCTAGAAGACCTCTATATACCCCTTTCCCATCAGGTCTCCAACCCCCATCCTGCCCTAACTGAGGGGTAATCACTATCCTGACTTTTATATTAATAATTTCCTTGCATTTCTAGCTCCTGATTTTAAGGCCCTTGTTTTTGGGTGGTGATAAAGTGGAACCTCACTGTTCATTGACTCATGTCCTCCAGTGGAAAAACAGAGTCTTGCTCTCAGCCCCACCTAAACGTTCATCAGAGATACCAGAGGGTGTGGTAGTAGGGGAGTGGAGAGCTTTGAATGTGGCCAGGTTGTCAGGATTTGAGCAAGGTGAATATTGCCACTAAATTGAAAGGTTTTCCAGCTGGTCACATCCCACTTTAAACCCTTAGTATACAGTCATGTGTTGCTTAACATCCATGATACGTTCTGTGAAATAGGACATTATGTGATTTGGATGTTGTGTAAACACCGTATTATATACAGGCAGTCCCCATGTTACAAACAAGTTCCATTCCTAAATCTCTCAAGTCCAATTTGTATGTAAGTTGGAAAAGTTAGGTACAGTATGTATCTAATGTCAGTCAAATGTCTGACTTAGTATATAGTATATATTGTACCTTTCTATGCCACTCCTCGGAAGGAAGGTGGGCAATCCTACTTCCATAGTGTTACTGCCTCGGAAACCCAAGGAGGGGTCGCCATGAGTTGGGGCCAACTCGATGGCAAATAACAACAACAACAACATGTATAAAAACATTAAAGAAACACTTCAAGATATACTAAAACATCTTTAACATAGTAATACAGTAATACTAATGTTTTGATGTGCATCGCAAAATAACACCCATTTGTTGTTACAAACCATTGTGTGTACCTTGAATTTGAAAAAAATTTTAATATAATAGGCTTTACAAGGGGTGGTATCATAGATATATAAGCAGTCAGACATTGCCTGAACAGACATTATAGGGCACATAACTGTATTCTCCAAAGATTTGATGCTTCTGGGATTTGTAGACCGAATCTGCTAGCCTGGATGATGGCACCCTTGTGCAAATTACCAAATGACTCCTCTGCTTCCAAATGGAGACTCTGTGACTTCCTCCACTCCCTGACACGAGGTCCATGGCTTATGTTTCAGTTCTCATTCCACCTACTCCTTGGTCAGAGCACAGTATTCATAACTAGATCTAGTAACCTTGTGTGACAGTTGAAGCCAACACCATGCTTAGGTCTTCTTCTTGTGCCAGGATCAATTTACTTTCTCTAGATGAAGAGCCCATTGAACACCTCTGTAAGGTTTTCATGTATTCACTCTAATATGGGGATACAGTGCAATGGTCCCTGTCTGTGGAGTGTATCTTCTAATTGGAGAGGCAACATTATACAACAAATTACTCTATTATTTAATTACAATTGTGATAGTCTTGATAGGGTGTCAAAGCAGCATCACATTCATTATCTTATTAGTCATAAAAACCTTATGAGGTAGCTACAATTATTCCTCTGACTTACAGATGAGAAAACTGAGGCCCTGAGAGTAATTAGCCCAAACTTATTCAGCTGTTAAGCTATAGAGATGGACTTTAACCCAGATTTGTATTATTTAGAGCCTGTGAAATTAATCCTTCTGTAACAGTGACTTGCTTCAGCCAATAACAACACTGAGTCTCCCAAAACCTGAGGGTAAATCCCCAGTTAGTATCGTCAGTTTTTATATCGCAGAAACGGTAGTATATAACCACACTATTGAAGATTTCTTAAAGGTACTTTTTAAAAAGCCTTTATGGCAGTTATTCTTAAAGTTATATTATTACAAGGTTAAAAAATAAATTAATTTACCATAGTGCCACCATTCCAAAAAGCAAGTTTTATTTTGTGGATCTCTAGTTCTTGTCCATTTATATAATGCTTTTTGTATTATTGTAAATAGAGCATTTTTACAATTTTGTGTTCTCACATTTTTGCTTAGTGTAGTAGTTAAGGTTGTGTGTCAGCATGGCTGGGCTGTGTGTTTGAGTGGTTGGGCAGCTGGATGTCATAATGAGATTGTAATCACCTCCATGGTGAAATCTGCTGTGAGCAGCTAAGTGGTTGCCTACAAGGTGGGGCCTCCTTCCCGTAACAAATGAGAATCTCTGAAGAAGGTCTAGCTTTTTGGTACATTGGGATCCTGCCTTTGGTTGGTCTTCATCTCCAGTTCCTGGACTTGATCCGGTGGATTGCTGTGTTGGTTGTTGATCTTGGGATTGTGCCATTCTACTTGCCAACCTTGGGTTCATCAGCCTCAGCAGCCAGCAGCTGCATGAGTTACAAGAAGCCTCCAGCTCCAGTGGGCCTGAAAGAAAAGGCAGAGCTGAAGCCCATGATCAGGGGGCCTTCATCCAGCCCCTAGAGCTTAGGCTTCTAGCTTCCTAAACTATAAGAGAATAAATTCCTGTTTGGTAAAGCCATCCATTTGTGATATTTCTGTTATAGCAGCATTAGTTGTTGTTGTTGTTGTTTGCCGTCGAGTCGGCCCCGACTCATAGCGACCCCTCCTTGGGTTTCTGAGGCAGTATCACTACGGAAGTAGGATTGCCCAACCTTCCTTCTGAGGAGTGGCTGGTGGGTTTGAACCGCCAGCCTTCTGGTGAGCAGTCAAGTGCCTTAGGCACTATGCTACCAGAGCTCCTAGCAGCATTAGAGGACTTAGTATTATGCCAAAATTATTTATCATCTTGATTAAAAATATTTATAATGTTTAATGACTAAGGAGTCCTGATGGTGCAACAGTTAAGCACTCAGCTATTACACAAAAGGTTGACAGCTTGAACCCTCAAGTGGCTCAGTGGAAGAAAGACCTGGAAATCTGCTCCTATAATGATTTCAGCCTTGAAAACCCTGTGGGGCAATTCTACTCTGTCATATGGGGTCACTATAAATCAAAATCATCTTGACAGCACCTAGCAACAACATGCAACATGGCATAATGAAATAATAATAATATTAACCAATACTTCTGTTCCAAGCATTTTATATATCAACTCATTTAATCCATTGAGGAAGCTACTGCTATTATTTCAATTTTATAGATTAGGAAACTGAGGCACAGAGAGATTAATTGACTTGCTCAGGATCTGTGACACAGCTAGTAAGCAGTATAACTGAGTTTGAATTCAGGTAGCCTTTTTTTTTTTTACCATCTTTACTGGTAATGACTTTGGAGTCACATAAATATGGGATTCTGCCTGTGACTTTGAACATGTTGTTGTTGTTGTGTGCCATCGAG